GAATTATAGCAGACTCATCAAAAGTAACATCTCTTGAAATGATAATTTTCTTCAAATCAAAGCTCCATAACTTGTAACCCTTTACACCTTGATTGTACCCAAGAAAAACGCATTTGATTGCTCTTGGTTCTAGCTTCCCATTGTCAACTCGTGCATACGCTGGACATCCGAATGGTTTTAAATCTGAATAATTTGCAGGTTTACCGGACCATAATTCAAACGGAGTTTTCTTCTCGATTGCTTGTGACGGTGATCGGTTGATAACATAGCAAGCAGTCGAAGCAGCCTCCGCCCAAAAAGACTTTGGCAATTTGGAATTAGAAAGCATACCAGACCTTCTCCATAATGGTGCGATTCATCCTTTCAGCTACACCATTTTGTTGAGGTGAATGGACTACTGTGCGATGTCGAGTAATGCCTTCCTTTTGACAATAGACATTAAACTCTTCTGAGCAAAACTCAAGTCCATTATCCGTACGAAGATACTTTACCACCAGACCTGATTGCTTTTCAACCTGAACTTTCCAATTTCTGAAGGTAGAGAAAACGTCTCCTTTATTTTTTAAGAAGAAAGACCACACCTTCCTGGAGAAATCATCAATAATAGTGAGCATATAAATAGCTCCACCTTTTGAAGGAACTCGAGCCAGTCCCCACAAATCCGAGTGAACATAATCAAGTGGTCCTTTCGTTGTATGGATACCACTTGCAAACCTCACTCGTTTTGCCTTGCCATATACACAGTCTTCACAGAAATCCAAATCAACAATCTTTTGTTGACCAAGTAAACCTCTTCGACTCAATTCTGACATGCCTTGAAAACTCATATGGCCGAGTCGAAGGTGCCAAAGACGGGACTGATCTGGATCAGAAAAAAAACTTTGACACAACAGCAGCATCACTCGAAATTGTTTGCCCGTCAAGAAAGTAAAGATCTGAGGTTTTTCGTTCGGCTCTCAGTTTGTCGGAACCGTCTTTGAATACCCTGAGAACTCCACCTTTACCTGCAAACTCGTATCCCTTTTTGTCAAAGGAACTGAGAGATAACAAGTTTCTTCTGAGGTCAGGAACATATCTAACATCCCCCATGGTTCGAATAACTTCGTCAAACATACGGATCCTGACTGAACCATGTCCAAGAACTGGACATGTAGTATTGTTACCCATCAACACATAGCCCTGGTTAACCTTTTCAAAAGTGTAAAACCAACTTTTGTTGTGACACATATGAAAAGTACAACCAGAGTCGAGTATCCAATCACCAGTGGAATCCAGTTTATCTGAATAAACTGTCAAAAGTTCTCCAATACCTTCCACCTCAGCTACATCGGCTTCACCCGAAGTGCTAGCTTGTTTACCATTTGCTGCCGTCTTCTCTTTTTCTTTATTCTTCAACTTGAAGCATTCTTCAAGCACATGTCCCTTCTTGTGACAATAGTTGCAAAACTTTCGTTTGCCTTTTGATTTGGATCTGGTCCTGTTGGAAGATTGAGAAGTTCTACTTCTCTCTGTTGTTCTTCCTCTAGCATTCAAACCTTCGGCTTTAGCATCACTTGAACCACCACCAGTAATATGCTTCATCTTCTCTTTGGAATCCAAAGCTGTATAGACTTCATCTAAAACTAAAGTGTCACGGCTATAGATAATAGTATCACGAAAATGGCTATAGGATTCTGGCAACGACGACAGTAAGAATAAAGCCAAGTCTTCATCTTCATACTGAACATCCATATTCTCTAAGTTATTTACTAACTCTTTAAATGTGGATATATGTTCAGTTAAAGAGCCTCCTTCAATCATCTTGAGATTGAACAACCGTTGCTTCAAATGCAACTTGTTTGGTAAGCTCTTGGTCATCAACAGTTGCTCCAACTTTAGCCATAAAGAAGCCGCTGACGTTTCTTTTAGAACATCTTGCAAAACATCGTTTGACAAGTGCAAACGAATCTGGGATAAAGCCTTCAGATCTTTCATCTCCTTTTCTTCTTCGGTCCATGTATCGGGCATCTTATTGAAACCCAAAAGCGCCTTGTGTAAATCCATCTGAATGAGAATGTCTCTCATCTTTACTTGCCACAACGGAAATCGTGTGTTACGATCCAGTAGTGGAATATCGTATTTTACCGAAGACATGATTAATTACTTGATAAAATGATCCCAATGAGCTAATATTACAACCCGGATGCTCTGATACCAATTGTTGTGAAATACGACGGATCCAAATAGACTTAAATAATATTAGCTCAATGCGGAATGGGATCAAAAATTATCAAAGCGTAATAATTAACGAAATACGAATAAAATAAATAGAATAGAGACACAGGAATTTACGTGGAAACCCAAATCGGGAAAAAACCACGGGCGGAGGAAGCCGAGAAACAATTCACTATAATTTGCAGTGTTTACAGGGATTATGAAAGAGATTACAAATAGAGTGAGAGGGCTAAAATATATGGTGGTGTATCAGTGTGTATATATATATATATATATATATATATATATATATATGTAATGTAGTACATTACATATATATATATATATATATATATTTTGATTGTTGGGTTCTTTCGTAATGAAATGGCTTAGGCTATTTATAGCCAAAGAAAAGAACATATGAAAGGATAAAAAATGCCGTCGTCCAAAAATGTTGCGCCTTCAAATTTGAATACTATTCATGACCAAACACTCCGCCTACAAACTTTTGAATAACAAATCTCCAAATTCACATGTGCCGTCCAATTCTTCAAACATTTCACATATATATTACTATTCATAGTCAAACTATGAATAGTAAATGATAAGTTACGGAAATAACCCCTTAACTATTTGCCACTTGCTAATTTTGGAGGCAACATTTTCCACAAACATAAAAGGAACTTAAATGAACGGACATAAGCGAACAACATAAACGAACGTTCACAGACATAATTGAACGAGCGAAACCATTTTTCATGTTCGTTCGTTTAACTAAACGAACGAGAATTTGTGTTCATGTGTCGTTCATTTATTAAATAAACAAACATAAACGAACTTCCCGCCGAACGGTTCATGAACAGTTAGCCGAACGTTCGGTTCCTTTACAGCCCTAACATTGATAGATTAATACTAACATTAACCAAAATACAATAATATTAACAGTTGAACTCATGAACTCTACCTACTTTAAAAATGAAAAACAAACAACTAAAGTCTAAACCATAATACATTAATACTAAATATTAAGTAAACAATGATACATTAATACTAACATTTGAACTTTAACATAAACTATAGTACTACATGTGGATGCAACGCAATGCATATTTTACTTTGAATCAAATAATAATCAATATAAACTAAAATTTAGATTTTACTTTGAACTAAATAATAATCTATGCAACACAATATATATTATACCTCGATTTTGTCAAAAAAATAGCTATGAAAAATAGAACAAAAAAAATTAAATCAGAAGGCCAAAATATAAGTAAGCGAATGTAAATGATAATTATACCTAGAGATGGCTGGATTGCAGCTCTAAAATTCGCCAGTAGAGCATTATATAAATGTTAACAGTGAAAATATTATGTTAATCTTGTATTGAAGTTCTCCAAAAAATAATACCGAATATACAATGGCACAAGGTTGCTTGATGATCCACACACATACACAAACAATTAAAGTTGGACTGATACTCTACCATTCTTGATTATAAAAAGACCATCCAAATAATAATGATAAGAAGAAATTGTTATTTCTTGCATTTAATCCGAAAACAATATACATAATTAGTGTACTATAGCATTCTACTTTAACATACACACAATCACATACAAACACAACACACAACACACAACACACATCACACATCACACACACACACACACACACACACACACACTACTACTAGAAAAAGGCTAAAGCTTAGCGAGTTTCCCACAAAATAACACATACAACCAAACCAATATACATAATGCATGTTGAGTACATAGTCACCCGATTGGATTACCCTGTCTCACAACCTCCCAGTTGGATTACCACTCTGGCCCACAATCTCCCGATTAGATTGCCACCGGGTTTGTTGGCCAACAACACAAAGCAGTGCAGCCTCAACCCAACCTCACGACTCCCTCAAAATCGTCGAAAACCCCGCGATTCCAATCATCATGCTTGTCGTCCAAGTTCCTTTCGATGATTCCATTCAGGAGTTAACCAGAATGGAATTGATCCGAATCGGTATAAGTTTCAAAGCACCATCGCACACCGGATTACAAACAACGGAATTAGTAAAAGAACTTATAGAACAGTTTCCGGCCACCACCCCTCTAGCGCTTGTCCTAAAACAGTTTCTGGCTGACCGCAGTTTGGACCAATCGTATTCCGACAGTTTAAGTTCTTATTGTTTGATTTTGTTGATAACTCGTTTTCTTCAACATGAGCAACATTATGGGAGACCAATTAATCAAAACTTTGGAGGGCTTCTTATGGATTTGTTTTTTTTACTTTTTTGGAAACATGTTTGATACACGTCAGATGCGGATTTAGGTTCACGAAAGTGGGGTTTATATAAATAGAAAAAGGGGGTATAGTATTGATCCGATTTATATAGATGATCCTTTGTATCCTGCAAATAATGTTGGAAGGAATTGTTTTAGGATTCATCAATGTATAAAGGCGTTTGCGGATGCGTATTCTACTTTTGGAGGATCGGCTTTTGTCTCTTTCTGATGATTGTGATTCGAGTAAGTTGAAGCTACTCCCGTTGATTATACCGAGTGTTGGTAATTCGTAGATGAATGTTGAGCTATTTTTTATGATGAGGATGAGAAGGGCATTTTCGTCTTTTGCATGGATGAGAGATCGGGGCAACGGGCAAGTCCGTGTTCCACCTTTTTGGTAATCAACAGTACCAAAACCAGTACCAGCTTTTTGGATGGGACAAAAGATTTGCAATCTTTGTTTCATTGACATCAGCTAAACACTGGATTTTTGGATGGGACAAAAGATTTGCAGTCTTTGTTTCATATATGTTCTTTATCACATACTTTTCTTTTACTATATTTGTGGTTCAACTTATTAGATAGACTACCTGAAGCATTATGCAATAAAAAAGGAAAAGTTGTGAAACCTGCATAATAAAGTAATATACTTTGGCCAAATTCTGTTTTGGGTAATGAACTTTATTTTTCCCAATAAAAGTTCGATTCCTAGGATAAAAATGTGGGTTAATTGCAAGAAATAGCAATGTATTTTACCAACTATCCTGAATATAGCAACATATTTTATCTTTTACTCATAATAGCAACTTACTTTCAATTTCTTTGTGATTATAGCAACATACTTTATCTGCTGAGATGGATTTTTAATAATTTTTTAATTTGGCTAACTGAGTTATTGTCAACTCATCAGGTTACCAATATAATCATGAAAGATTTTGAAAGTAGGTTGCTAGAATGAGTAAAATCCAAAGTACATTGCTATAATCAGTAATTTTGAAAATAAGCTTCTTGGTTGTTTGTACTGGTACCTTGCTTCAAGATGTTTTGTTTTGGGTTTACCAACGCTTTTTCTGTTTTTTCTTTTTCTATCATACGGCTCCACCTGCTCTTGGTTGTTTGCACTGGTACCTCCTCCATATGTAATTTGACTGCACCTGTTGTCAACAAAAAAAGGGCGTTGGTATTAGTTTTAATGTGACCTTTCTTAAGAGCCTACAAGCCATGTGAAATGTGGATTTTAGATTTAGTTATTTTTTTGGTGTTATCCAGATGAAGTTCTATGTCAGGTGAATCTATTTATGTGTATGTTCTTGAAAGGCTTCCAAGTAAAGCTGAGTTTAGAAGTTTTATTTTAGTTTTGCTTATGTCCAAACTTGCGGTCATGCACAATGAATTTACACTTGTTCTATACTTATATGGAGTTTTTCATAAATAGTGTAGAGGTTTTATATAATCTTATTTCTGATATTGTAATGAAAATGGCGGACAAATGCAGTGACAATTCAAATGACAAACAATTGGGTAGATCGTTCAAATTACAATGCCTTAAAAAAAACTAAAAATCCAATGTCGTAACAGAAGCATATGAAAGTAGAATGTTATAATGCATGATAAAGAGAAGTTCATTGCTACTTCTTGCATTTATCCCTAAAAATGCCAACAAACTCATGGTAAATTTTCTGAAATTAAATCCTTCATTGGTGTTTGCAAATCACTATGAGTTACCTTTTTAAACAACGTATAAAACCAATTTGACATCAACAATATCACTAATAAAATCACAAGGTAAAACCACGGAGAAAATTTGAAGTACAATACCTTGATAAAAAAAAAGTAAAAAAAAAAGAAACAAAAGTAAGATGCTATAATACACGAATTTAGAAATTACATTGTTGAAGAAAACAAAAACCTCAATTCAATTTGATTATCAGTTGTCACTCCAACAAGTAGCCCAGAAGTATTTACAGCAACAAAGGCCGGAACTTCATCTGTTTCAAGTTCTGATCATGGAAATTCACCATTTTTTCTCCCTCCAACAAACATTTTATTAAAAAGGTAGAAAGGAAAAGAGAATCATGATGATCTAATTGAATCAAGTTCAGATTCTGATGGTTAGAATCTTTCATCAAGCTTAAGGTTTCAACCATGGATGGTTGACATCATCAATCAAAATGAAAACAGAACATCATGGAAGCTCATATATTGTAAATTGACTTTTTATGTAATCTAATTATTATTGTGCACATTTATTATCGTTATTTAATTGCAACTTTTTAAATTTAGTTTCCTGAAGTTTAATATATATGCGGTTCAATTACTTATTGTTCAGTATTCAGTGACAGGTGAGGAGAGACTTTGAACATAATGAGAGGTGAGGAAGAAACGTAAGTTTAAATCATATACAGTTCCCTAGCTAACTTGAGGCGAATTTCCATTTGCTATACACTTTTAGTTTTTTAGTCTGAGTTTGTTGAGCATGAGAAACTTTCTAGGGTTATCAACCAGCAATACTCATAACAAAGTACTCCCATAAACACAAATCAGATGACCAAATTTGAAATTGAATGAACAATTTGAACATTGAAAAAACCCTATCAATTGCTGATGTATTGTGAAATTAAGTAAACAATTGATTGGAAATAGTACCTGGTTGTTCAAAATTGAAGACTCGACGAATCGCTGTTGAAATCGTTTGACGATGAGTTTTGAAATGGGAAAAATACAAATGATATACAAACCGTAACTCACGATTTACAATTCATTTTGTGTTTATCACAATTTTATTAGTCATTTATATATTTATCTTATTAACTTTACTTAGGGGTGTTTGATATTGCTTCTAATTGAGTCCAACAGGGGACCCGGTCCAAAAAAGAAAAATTAGGGTGTTTGATTTCGTTTTTACAATCAAGGACTCAATCCAATATGGACTCGGTCCAAGAAAAAGCGATGATTCGGTCATTCCCTTTGAATCGTTGGACTGGGACGTAGGTTATGCATTTACCGATTTTACCCTACGTTGACAACCTTCACAGAGAAAAGGCAATGACGACCTGCTCCCCACCCTCATCTGCTGCTCTTCCGTCGACTTTCTTCCTCCGACTTAATTTGTAAATATTATATTTACTTTTCATAAAATTTTAAAATATCGTATGTCCTTTTTAAACAGCAAAATACCATATACGTCTTTCTTAAATATCAAAATATCATATATGTCCTTAAACCTCAAAATATCAATGATAATATCTAAAATATCATCCATCTACAACATAACAATAATCAGCAACAAAAAGCTAAACAATCAATGCATACATTCCATGGAGAGGGCTAAAGATTAAGTTTTTTGTTTGTCAAGAGAACGACATTATTATAGATATAAAGATAATATGGTTAAAAAATTTTAACTATTATAATAATTTTAAGATATAAAAAAATGATTATAAACTATTAAAAACATTGTAAAAAAAGATGTCGACAAATACTATTTTGAAGGTTAATGAAGGGTAAATATGAATTTCTTCCTAGATATTTTTAAATCCGTCCAAACAAAAAAAAATTAAAAATATTTCAATTTGTTAATACCTTTTTTACCAATTTGTATAATAAGTTTAGAGTAAATTATAAAGGTGATGATTTTGCTTAACCCAAAATCACAAGCTCAATTGAAAAAAATTAAAATCGTCATTAACGTGGTATTTCATTGTGGATATATATGGTCCCAAAATCACATAAAATAACTTTTAAATTTTAGATTAAACTTGTGTTTTTTTACATATCAAGTTCATATATTCGACTTTGACTTTAAATTTAATAGATAGTAACAAACTAACAATTGTTTTACATATTCATTGATTCTTATTTTATAGCAATGTATTTCCATTAGTTGAGGTTTAGACTAAGATCAACATCTTTTTGGATTGTTTCATGCCAGATGAAACAGTAGGATACCTTGATAAAAAATTTAGTAATATATATACAATTACTTATATCAAATAATTTTTTTCAATGATAACAATAAGTTCTTTAAAAGTTAAAACCTACCTGTGATATAATCTTCTAGAAAGAAAGACTAAAAAGGCTAAAAAACAGGACAAAGGTTTATTATGATGCTACCAGGCACAAGAACATCAGGTAGTTTAATTACAAGAATCTTTCAATAGATTTACCTTTTTAATATTAATGTTTGTGGCCCAGTTTCTTATAAAAATATTTGAAAAAATAACAGAACTTAAGGAAATGAAAGGAAAAATTAAATAAGGGCAATTTGTAAATGACCATTTTACCCTTCTCATCATATTCAACGTAAGTCAAAAAGAAACAACACCTATGTGGGAGGAATGAAATGAGAGCAAGTTTTCAAATGAGAAGTTTCGCATGACAAAAGAATTAGTCTGTTATATGATAAACATTTCTTCATTTTTGTAAGAGAACAGGAGGCTCTGAGGGCATTATGGTCATCTTCATTCCCAGGACAAGAATTACATGGCCTGAAATACTAGTTTATTATATAAAATACCAGTTTAATCTTCCTTCTTTTCCTAATAAGATAATGAACAAAGACAAAAAGAATGAATTAATTGACAAAGTCTTACAATTTCCCTATCATTTGTTATATAAAATACTAGTTTAATCATCCTTCTTTTCTTTATATACCGCAGACATAATTGCCCCTGCTGAAAAATAACACCACAAAAGTATTACACATTTACCCTTTTAGTCTTGATAGTTCTATAAAGGACGAGTTTAGAAGACAAACATAACCAAACAGATTGTTTCCATAAAGAGGCAACAATCGATTTTAGTATGCATTTCACCTCTAAGTCGCATCATTTCATCAAACATATGAAAGCAAGTGTCCTGATTGGTTTGTTTTTGCAATAGAGATAATAAACTTACAAAACAAATTGTTACCAAAAAACTGTCCTTCATTCTCACAGATTGCATATGTTTGTACGTTAGAACAGAAGCTTATTCTTCATTCATAAGACTGTTTCATTTTAGGGAAAATGACTTATAAGGGTAATAATGTTTTAAAAACATTCATAAAACACCATCAAAGATTTATCTGCTTAAAAAACACCATCAAACTAAAGACTTTGTTTAAAAAAGACCAAGGAAGTATATCTTTTGTTCAAATTCCACCTAGTGGTAACCTACAGCTGTAGGTTAAATGAAAAAAATGACCTGATAAAATTAATTAACAGAAAATAAGTAATGAAATGGAATATTTTTGTTCTTATGTGGATTAAGGGTTAAAAATGTCTCAGGTATTTCAACATCTATTAACGGGATGAAGTGAAGCAACTAGGGTTTGTTTTTAGGTTCGATCGCTCAACAACCCTCAATGAAATTGAACCCTCTGTGAAATCGATTTACATAGCCTTGGTGACATCGATTTTTCCAGCAAGAAGGTGTCCCTGTTTGATGGATTTTCTACAATTATGACCAAACTGCCCTTGTTGTTGGTTTTGCTGCAATTATGACCAAAATGCCCCTATTTGTTGGTTTTGCTGTAATAAAGGATAGTAGATTGCTATTGCTTGTATAATTACTATTTTACATGTCTGAATTTAAATTTGAACAAAACAGTTGCTTATGGCTTAAAAAGTACGTTGCTATTGTTTAAAAGTACGTTGTTATTCTTTGCTTGATGTTTAAATAAGAAAGTGTCCAAGGGTTATCTTAGATTAGATTTCACGATTCCCAAACATATTGTCAAAGTATCATTAAGGAAAGTGAACCAATCTTCAACATATCCAAGAATTTAATTGATTATCAAACTATCCCATTTTGTAAACATTTCTAAAGGATAATATAACATTGATTAACATATCACATATTAACAATGCAACTACATAATCTTTCCAAAACCATCCCATTTCATGAAATAGTGAGAAATAGAAGCTGGAGAATAGTCAAGGCACCATATGTGCAAATTAACTCTTTGACATTAGTTGTCATCGTATGGTTTTCATAACATTAAAAAAATAAGACATAAGTAAGCTTTTAACTTCAAATCTTAACATCATTTTTCTTTTTTCTTTTTTTAACTTGAAAATAGTATAATTACCTTATATTAATATTGGTTGAGGAACTGAGTTTACTCTCTTGTCATTGCTCGAAAAGGAAGAATAATTTGGGGGTATTTGATGCACTTTGTGGATGTGGGTTTGTAATTGATAAGGCTGTGGGTACCAGTTATAACCATTTCTTGACAGCAAAAGTATTATGATGAGTAAGTTAGCTATCACCTAATGGCTCACCTGGTAATACCAGTGGTTAGATTGGCAAGATGTGGGGAACACCATTTATAGAAAAAATATGAATATGTTGATTTTACTAATTCTAGTACATAAAATATATTATTCATCTTTACTTTATGTGTTCTAATGCAATATAAGTGTCTGTCCCTGTTGACCAATATACCCCTATATGGTAGAGATGTTGAAAGTTGAATGCCATTAATCCAACTACAGGCCTGTTTCTTTTATGTCTGAAAATGTGTCTGTGTTGCATATAAAATGTCTATTTCTTTGTAAGTACGAACGAACTGTATCAATGTCAAATAAAGGATCATTTTACATGTTCTGTTATGAAGTTGCAAATGATCATCCAAGCAACAATTGCAATCCAAATAAAGCATAAAAATGACAAACCATTTACAAAGCATAAATTTAAAAAATACAAATCCATAATCTCATATCACAGTAAAATGCCAAATTTAACTCCCTTTGTGGGTTCTAAATGAAAAAAATAGTAGATGGGTGTTTTGGTATAAATGGGTACGCCTCTACTCCATATTCCCCAATGATTTCTACCCCACGATCATTCAAAAGTTACCCGTTTTCATCAAGGAACACAAGATGAGGGACTCCATTAACTTTAAAAGATTCATCTAAAGCTTCTCGTGTTTTGGAATCAAAGAATGGAGCAGCGAGCCATGGCATTTTAGAGAAATAACCAATGGTGTTATGAATTGTACGAAACAATACAAATCCATGAACACATTCCATTTATAGTCTTGAACATATCATACATAAACCCTAATACTAGATAAGCAACTTGTTCTCTGGCCAAACTCATGACTCTATGAGCATATCATCAACCCATTTCCAGAAAGCACCTTTTTTTTTGTTTGGATCCTTTACATATGTAGCAAAAATCAATCACATACCAACCATATATATATGGAAAAAGGATATGATAAAACTTAGTTAAACATACCAAGCCATCAGAGGAGACGGGAAGAAGAATGATGGAAACGAAAAGAAGAAGAATCTGTTCATGGATGAACAAAAGTTATACTTTGAACAAAAGTTATAACTTATGCCATGTCACCAAGTATTAGGCCACATCAACATTTAAACTGTAGGAACAGGTTACCAATGGGTGTGATTTGAACAAAAGTTATACTTTGTTGTTTTTTTTTACAAAATTCTTAGTTGGATGGTATTTTTTAAACATACAATACTTCAATGGTGTTTTTTGAACCATTTTAAAACATACTTACCCTTATTAGTCATTTTCCCTTCATTTTATCATATCAACAATATCTCACATTGACAATTCCTGCATTTCAAAAGATCCAAATGTGTTTTCACCACTATAATTCATGTAAAGGAATCCATCTTCATCCTTAATTATTTTCCTCGTAAATGGAAGACATCAAAGCACAAAAATACACGGGATACGATCCAATCAAATAGTAAGAAACTGAAATTGATACGTATCATGCTTCAAATAGAACTTCCTGAAAACAAAAGAAAGTTTTAGGTCAGGTGTCCTTCGAAGAGGAAGGGAACTTTAACTATATGTCCACCTAGAAATTCACGGAGAAATAATTTAATTTCAATATTATTCCATCAAATAAGAAATTGACTGAATTAATTAAATTGCTACTGCCAGACCCTATTTAAACACTCATTTGACCTTGAAATCATCCTCCACTTACAATTAGCAACCCATATTTAACTAATTCATCAATTCTTTCCAGTTTGACAATTATTCAAGAAAGTGAAACTCACAATTCCAAATCAACTAACCATTTTTCACAGGATCCTTGCACAGCTATTATCGTTTACCATGTGAATAACACAAACATTCCATCAATTTCATCATGTAATAAATTTGAAAGACCTTGATTGGTCCATAACTAAATTAGGGATTGAAATTACCTCTTGGAAGTGTAATTCAACAAGAAAGAGGCTGGGTGGGGTAGACCAACAGATTTTCGGCCACTAGGGTTACTGCCAACGAAGTGCCGCCACAACTCCACCTTCGGCCACGGCTTCACGGCGCTGCTTTCTTCTTCGCCACATCTTTGTCTCGACTGCCCTCTTGTTTCTACTAATTACACACTCACGACTAGACAGCAGCACCAAGGGTCAGAAACCCGGTGCACTCGAGGAAGGTGTGTGTGCGTGTTTTTGCGTTCTCCCGATCAAACACACTAGAAGCCTAAATTCCAATTTGACCCATTTGCGTCGGTTATTTTGACAATAAAATCATTTCTATATTGTTTTTATGTTTTTTTTCTTTTTTTTTTTTGTAAATATTAAATAATAAAACCAATATCATTTAAAAAGGACAAAAAATTAGGATATCATATATTTGCAATTTCATTCCTAATTTTTTTTATTACATAGATGGTCCTGGGTTTGAATTTATTGGATATTTTGTCCTGAAGGCATGTAAAATGACTTTCTGTATCTTTTTTATTTTAATATAATTTTTAACTAATTTTAATTAACAAAACAAATTAAAAAGTAAAAAAAGTCACACTCGTCTCTCTTGCATCAAACAAGAAAAGGCTTTCTATTTTAATTTAATTTTTAACTAATTTTAATTAACAAAACAAATTAAAAAGTAAAAGAGTCACACTCGTCTCTCTTGCATCAAACAAGAAAAGGCTTTACTACCATTGTTCGACCACCACCGCATCATTTTTACAGACACAACCATTACCTCTGACAACATCTTTCCGGTGACCACCATTGCTATTTTTGTAATATCTTGAACATTAATATGAAATTGGTAAGATCTACATTCATTCAACCCAACAAACCTAAAATCTAAAATATGAAAATCGTTTTTTCCATCCTAAAACCTTAAATTTTGAAATCATTCAGCCTAATATAACCCTAAAACCATTTCCATAACATGTTTGCGGCCGCACACGGGAGAAATAAAGGTGGTGCGGCTGAGGATGATATTAGGTTTAAGGTTTATTTAGCTTATATACCCGACGGTGAAACATATTGCCATATTGTCATAGTTGGTCCCTCCCTTCACCTATTCTTCAAAAGAAGTCTATAAATTACCAATTAAACCCTGCCCCTGAAAACCTTTACTAATTAAGTCTAAATTTTACCTTTTTAACCCAGCCTCCTGAAATCCTTTACAAATTAAGTCTAATACTTGCCAAATAGCCCCTTAGCCTCCAAAATCTTTTCAAAATAAATCCCAAAATTACTTTTTAAACCCCGAATAATCCAATTTATAACATTTGGCTTCCCAAAAAACAACACCCCACTAAATAATATGTATTTAGGGCGACTATTCGTTCATCAATTTTATCTATTTATTTATTTAATAAACTAGATGTTACATTTGTATAAATCGAAGATTTGATATCGATGACTATTGCTGAGATCGTATGAGGATGTTCACAAAGTCTATTGTTCGTTGGTCGATGCTGATGACGAACAAATAATGCTTTGACGGGTCTCATATGCGAAGATTTTAAAGGGATCAATAGAAGGGTCAATGTGTGAAGGTTTTGATAACGAAGGTTTTGATGTTGATAGTCGAACTTTTTTTTGGAATAACAAAGATTTTTGATCGCTAATAGCGAAGATTTTTTTATCGCGAAGGGCATTGGAGTCGAACCTCGACCGGAACAAGAGAATTGGGGAAGAAACCAAACAAGTTTTGAAGTTGGTCCTTAAACTTTCGAAGATTTGACAGTTTACACCCACATTCGACATAAGGACCTAATTTCGATAGTTTGAAAGAAAAGAGGCAAAATTTTCGAAGTGAGTCTGTGCAGTTTCGAAAAGTTGGCAGAAAATACCCAACTTTGAAATTAGGGTAATATTATGAGAAATTGAAGAATGTAAATTTCAAGTCCTTATAGTTGGTGTGAACTTACACTTTATGCCCAGTTTCGCAAATAGAGTGTTTCGCATCTTAAGCTATTTTTGGCGCAACAGGTCCCTGCAGAATTCTGTTATTGACAGTGTTTACCTGGATTTTTGGAAAATCTTGCAACTTTCACCCAAAAAGTCAAACTTTTTCACAAACTGGAAATTTTTTGAGGCTTTTTCGTGATTATTTTTCCGTGCAAGATTTTCAAGGTTTCATTTTTGGTACACATCAAGGGGGAGTATTGTGAAGATTATTCCTCGGGCACTTCTCACCCTTAATGGGTTTTATAATCATTTTTTGATTATCAAAAGGGAGAGAATGAAGAGTGGGTATTCGAAGCGGGTTTGTCGGATATTCATTTGCAGACCGGTGTTACTTCGAGGGGGAGTTTGGACTTGATCGCACGGGCTTGTTGGATAGTGAAGTCGGGACATCTAATCCAAACTTTGAGGGGGAGAATGCTAAGGTGAAAAGTCATGATTGGATGTAGTGTATTAAGCTTACCCTCTTGTATGTGTAAATGGGTTGAGTCTTTCTTATAAATAGGAAGTGAGTGGCTCCCATTATGTAAGATCTTGTTTTGGAGAGCATTAGTTTTAGAGAGAGAAACTTACAAACCCATTTATACTATTTCTGATTCAACTAATGAGAGCTTAAAAGGTTTATTTACTCTTTGTGTTCTTGAGTTTGTATAATGATTCATTATATCTTTTCTTATTCCGCACATGTCATCATAATTAACACAACTACACCATATTAACAAGACCCACAAACGAGCTATTCGGACGTGAACGGGAAATTGCGATAAAAGTTAAAGGGTAGCTTCCAAAAAATATAACATCTAGTTTTCCTTTTTTTAATTTTCATGGTTTCGTTTTTTTTTTTTTTACATTTCTAGGTTTATAATTTGAATTTCTATGTTTTTTTTGTGTGTTGTATTTTTATTTTATATTTAATGAAATTTATTTTTTAAAAAAATAATATGTTTGAAATATTTAATTTCTATATTAATTAAAAAAAAGTAGCATGGCAAGTGTGGCAACCCGCGCCGCGCCATGCAAATGACAAGTTTTGACTAAAGTGTGGAAAATATGATGTGGCGTCTACGTAGACCGTGGATTGTGTGGCACCACACCTACTAGCCTTATATAATTATCGGTCTCAATTTTCTGCTTTTCTTATTAATTTGCTTTATCATTCTCGATCTTGCCTTCACTTAATCTAGATTAAAGACGACACACACACTAACATATCACATTTTCTGGCTTCATCTGCAATATACAACCACACTTCCTATTTCCTTAATCTAGTGATTACCGTCTAGTCGCCAACTCGCCCTCATTCTCCATTCAGTTCCAACTATAAGGTTTAATCAAACTTCTAAATTTTTATTTACAGTTTTTTTGTTTGTTTGTTTCTCATTTTGATTTTTGACATTATTATTTTCTGACTTATGAGTCCATTAGGTTTTAATTTGGTTCAAATTATCAGATATATTATTTTGTTCAACTCTTTCTTAGTTTCTCATTATCGAATTTTTGTTTGATCAAATTCAAAGCTTTCGTATAATCTAATCAGAAGTTTATGTTTCAAATCTTCTGATTTTTTTTTTTTGTGATTTGATTTTTGCAAAGTTATTCAGTTTTGAACTTAAAATTACTTATTTGGACTTCTTAAGGTAATATGCATATGTTAATCCAAATTGTTGGTTATCATATTTTATTTATTTATAAGATATTAAGATTCTTTGACTTTTGTAAATTTTGTTTGGCAACTTGCTTTGATATTTAACTTCTCCAAACTTGAGGAGGAAATCAGAAATCAAGTATATTCTTTCCTTGAAGTAGTGTTTAATTATTGACAATTATACAATGTTACCTAAAAAACATTTATCCGAAAGCCAACAAAGAAAGAAATGAAAATTTGTTGATGCATCTATACAATCTCAAAAATGAACTATGGATAAATTTTTTTAAACCTTTGAGTACTTCTAATTTAAAGGAAGAAAATATTAATTTGAACGAAAATGATACTAATTTGAATGAAAATGATACCATCTTGAATGAAGAAAATACTAATTTGAATAAAGAAAATACCAATTGAATGAACATGATAATAATGTGAATTAAGAAAAAACTAATATAAATGAACCTTTAGATATTTTTAAACCTAGAAATTAGGATTTGCTATGTACTTTCAAAATTAAAGGTGTTGCAAATGATTTTGCCTAATAATATAATGTAAGCTATTGAAATTTTGGACTTTGTTAAAGTTGTTGATTGTTATCTAAATATTTTATTGCATATAGCATCTTATTAAACCATTCATGTCACTGTTACATTGCAGAAAGAAGTTTTTCAAGACTGAAGTTATTGAAGAGTTATCTAAGGTCATCGATGTCGCAAGATATGTTGAATGGTTTGACAATATTATGTAGAGAGAAAGATATATTACATCAAATCGATCTTGATGGTATTTTTAATGGTTTTGTATCTAAAAAAGCAAGGATAAGTATTTTTTTTTTTAATTAGTTGTTTTTGTAATATTGTAGCCATATTTGTGTTTTTTTAATATTATTAGTGAATTTTGTAACAATGTGTTTTGCTTTGTAATCAAAAGAAATGAAAGTTAAGAAAAATGATGATTTTGACTACCTTTAAAGAAGATTTTGTAAACCTGTCTTAAACTTGAAATATAGAACCTTGAAATCCAACGGATTAAAGTATATAATTGGGGTAAAGTTAAGTTTTGCAAAAAGATGAAAGGAACTTGTATTTCAAATTTACAATAAACTAATTCTTTGAAACATAAAAAAAGTCAGATGTTACCAGAGGATGATCTCAAGTAACATCACTTCATCCTAACTTTTCATCTTTTTGTTTTACTTCACATCGTGATGCCTACAATGTAATGTTATTTTAAAACTAACGGGGTAACGTAGCATTAAGTATAAAACAGAGTATATTGAAGCTAAGTTTATCCTAAAACAGGGGATTAAAATATAGTAAAGAAAAGTATGTTTATGTTATTTACAGGGTAAAGTTGTGAGTGAAGGACAAAATAGAATTCATCAAGAACGCAACCGAGTTTGTGTTTTTCTTTTGAAAACAGATAATTTTTCTTTAAGTATGTACACATGGAAAAAAAGGTTACACCTGGAAAATTCTCTGGCCAAATTACTGAAAAAAGAATAATCATTATCTATCCCAAGATTACTGAAAAAAGAACCATTTCACATGACCAAAAATCAAACAGAAAAATGCCTAAAATTTGAATTTTAAAAGCATTAAGTTTGACTACTGTGAAAAAGTCAAGATAGAATGCCCTCATGAAAGAGGCCAAACTACGTAATAAGATAAAATCCAAAAAATATAGATAATAAGTCAATAACCCAGAAAATCGAGCAGTTGAATGCACTAAAAAAATACACAAACAACTAAAAGCAAAGACCACAAAGAACGGGTTTTTCATTCAACTGTTTGAACTTTGAACAAAAAAATATGTCTTTCATCCAGAATTCTTGATTTGCACTCGCCGATCAATCCAAAGAACAGATTTAACATAAGATTAACTAAAGACTTTAGTCTAAAGTATCAATTTCTTGTGAATTAAATCTTTTAACAAAAGGGATTTATGAGATTACTTAGGAACAGGGTTTCAATAACCTTGAAGCAGAAGAGTTGGTCATCAAGTCAGTTCAATCAAATAAAGTAGAGAAACATGTAAATGATGATGGACACTGGAAACAAATGAGTGCTAGAAGAAATCCTAAGGCATGAACCATGGTACAATGTTGTAATCTTACCTATTATGCTATATATATAGCTGACTTCAAAATGAGCCAAACT